GGGCTCAAGGTTGATAATACAGACCTAGAGGAACCAGAAAGGTTTAAACACTGGGAGGAAGAAAAGACTAGGAAAATAGGAAACTGTGAGGGCAGGCAGGGTGGGAGGTAATGGGAGGAACATGTTCTTTTATGGGAAAAAAAAAATCAAGCTCCTGACTAAAGAGAGGATTAGTTTGCACATAGTTTGGCATCTAAATTTGTACATCGCTCATTTCAAGTGAAAACCTACAGACTATCTTAGATCTTACTCTTCTCCCTCCAGTAATATTTCCAAGCCTCCCAGCCTCCTCAGAGTTCCCCGGCTCCCATATCTCCTCACATCCCCTCTCTCTCTGACTAGTGCTCCTCTCTCTACAAAGTCTCCCCACAATATTTTCCCATTCAAATCCTAGCTCTTCTCCTCTAAACCTTCTCTCTCCCCTTTTCAAAACTCACTGCCATTGAGTCAATTTCAATTCATTGCAACCCTATAAAACAATATAGAACTGCCTGTAGGTTTCTGAGATTCTAACTTCATCTTTCTTCCGAAGTGACTGGGGGTTTCAAACTGCTAACCATAAGGTGAACAGCGCAACACATAACCCACTACACTGCCAGGGCTTCCTCTCTCCCTTATACTACCTACATTCACTTTCAACAACAAGCGTCTAATTCGATTGTACTTTGCAATTCCCCCGTACCTTGATGTCTGTGTCTGCAGTGACAAACTCCTTCAGGCACTCGATGGGACCCATTAGGAATGGGCAGTGGGAGGAGAAAACCTAAGGGGGAAAGGAGATAAATGAGCCCACAGGACATTGGCCAGTGCCTTCAGAGCTCCAGAATCAACCACAATGGCTGTCATGGAGTCGATGCTGACTCACAGTGAGTCTACAGGACAGAGTAGAACTGCCCCTGTGGGTTTCCAAGACTGGAACTCTTTATACAAGTAGGAAGCCCCACCTTTCTCCCCAAGGAGCAGCTGGTGGTTTTGCACTGCTGCCCTTACAATTAGCAGCTTGGGGCATAACCATTATGGCACCAGGGCTTGCCTTCAGGGCTAGAAGCAAACAAAAAAGGGCCTCAACTTACACCAGAACCTAATTCACTTTCCATTTTGTCCCTTTCCTTAGGCATCTAGGTTGGTGTTACATATACTTTTTACTGTGAATTAGATGAAGGCTTACAGAGCAGATCATCAGTTTTCCATTCAATGATTGACAACCACGCATTTATGCACACAACTCATGCATTGCAATCCCCTCGTTGTACCATCACACATCCTACTTCCTCTTTGTGTTTCCTATTTCCATACCTCCTTTCCTGACCCATTGAATGTGATCCTTGGGTAAATGCTGCTTTTCATTTTAAATGGTTGATTATTCTCGTATGGGCTAAGTTCACTCCCAGACCTGAAGGATGACTAAAGGATAGTACTGTGGGTCCCCCAATCTCTCTCCGACCAATAATTATGATGACTTTTATGATCTTGAATTGTGTTCCACATTTTTCTCCCATTCGACCCAGGATCTTCTAATGTATCCCTTTCAAAGCAGTTAGTAGTGGTAGCCGGACTCTTTCTAGTTCTTCTGGCCTCAGAGTTGTGGAGACTAACATTTGTGTGATCCATTGTCCATTTGACTAATTGTTTCCACCAGTCTTTCCATTTGCATCACTCTTTTTCCTCTGAACTTGGAGACCAATAGTGACACGTTAGATGGCTATCAGCTTTTAAGACCCCAGCAGCTACTCAACAAAGTAGGTGGTAGAACATTGTCTTGGTGAACTAAGTTATACATTCCCTGAATGATCCCTAAGAGGATGGTCCTGACTCCTCAGACTCAGTAACTCATTCCCCCAAGGTGTTTGATTAGGGCTAAAAAGGATTCTCAACTTGACCCCGTGAGCTTCACCACATTCATGGATATATTTGCAGTAAAAGTAAATACACATATACAAATATCCTCGGTCAAATCCACATATACTCGTGGACATACTCCACTCTCCATCCCACACTGTGCGTCTCTCCACTTGGATAGATGAGTAGATGCTTTCTACTCATAGATCACTGCTACTGCAGGATTGTGTATATAACAGTATTTGCTTCTGGTGGCTTTGACTCTAGCCAACTTCCCAGTGACTTCCCAGCTCCGTTCTTTTTCCTAGCCTCCTTCTTACTGAAAATTACCTTCTCTTTCACCTAGGCTGACATTTGCGTACCCTCTAACCTATAACTTACCCTCCCTCGCCCTTCCACCTCTCGTAACCATCAATGAATGTTTCTTTTAGAGTGAAGATCTTTTCTTGACTTTTTATAAATAGTGGTCTCATATTTGTCCTTTTGTGATTGACTGATTACATCAGCATGATGTCCTCCAGGTTCCTCCAGGTTATGAGTCATTTCCCAGATTCATCACTAAATTCTAACACTGCATAGTATCCCATTGTGTGTATATACCAAAGCTTATTCATTCTTCCACTGCTAGGCATTTAGGCTGTTTCCACCTTTTTTGCTCTTGTCAACAATACTGCGATGAACATGCATGTGCGTGTATTTATGCATGACATGGCTCTTATTTCTCTAGAACAGCGGTTCTCAACTTATGGGTCGTGACCCCTTGGGGGGTCGAATGACTCTTTCACAGGGGTGGCCCAATTCATACCAGTAGCAAAATTACAGTTATGAAGTAGCAATGAAAATAATTTTATGGTTGGGGGGGTCACCACAACATAAAGAACTGTATTAAAGGGTCGTGACATTAGGAAGGTTGAGAACCACTGCTCTAGGATATGTACCACATAGATGAATTACTGGGTCATAGAGTATTTCTGATCCCGACATTTTGAAGGCACTCCATACCACTTTCCACAGTGGTTGCACCATTTTACAGTCCCATTAGAGTGTCTCCAAATCATTTCCAGTATCTGTTGTTTTCTGATTTTTTGAACTTTGCTATTAATGTTGGAGTGAGGTAATGTCTCACTGTTTTAATTCACATCTCCCCAATAGCTAATTATTGTGAGCATTTCGTTTTTGTTGTTGGTTTTTTTTTTGAGCATTTCTTAAATATGTTTGTTGATTTCCTGAATGTCATCTTTGGTGACGTGTCTATACACATCCTCTGCCCATTTTTTTAAATGGGATATTTTGCCTTTTTTGTTGTTGAAGTTTTGTGTAAATTTAACATTAGTCCCTTGTCCAATATGCCATTGCCAAAAGTTTTTCCTAGTCTGTGGGTTCTCCTTTGACTCTTTTGGTAAAATCTTTTGATGCATGTAAGTGTCTAAGTTTTAGGAAGTCCCAGTCATCTAGCTTCTCTTCTGCTGTTTGTTTCATTATGTTTGCTAGTATATTGATGCCATGTCCCTAATCTTGTCCCTGTTTTCACTGATCATCTTTATACTTCTAGGCTTTACTTTAGGTCTTTGATCAATCTTGAGTGTTTTTGTATATGGTATGGTAGATGGGTCCTGTTTAATTCTTCTGCAAATGGATATCCATCCATTTTTGCCAACACTATTTGTTAAGAGGCTATTCTCGTCCCCATTTAATGTGCTTTACCCCTTTGTCCAAGATCAGCTATCTGCCAGCAGATACATTTACTACTGGGTCCTCAATTCTGTTCCATTGGTCTATGTTTCTATCATTATCCCAGTCTAGGCTGTCTTGATTTCTGTGTACCGGGTTATGAGATCGGGAAAGTGGAAGTCCTCCTACTTTGTTCTTTAGTAGTGGCTTTACTTATCCAGGGACTCCTTCTTTTTCACATAAAGTTGGTTATTAGTTTTTCTCTCTCTTTAAAGAATAATGTTAGAATCTGGATCAGAATATCTGTAGATCACATTGGGTAGTATTTTCACAATATTAAGTCTTCCTCTCCATGCACGTGATATATTCTTTAATTTATGTAGGTCTCTTTGGGTTTCTTATAGTAGTGTTTTGAAGTTTTCTTTGTACAGGTTTTTGTTTCTCTGGTTATCTTTATTCCTAAGTATCTCATCTTTTGAGGAGCTATTATAAACAAGGTTGTTTTCCATTTTCAGAGATCTCTTTGTTAGTTAAAAGAATCTGATTTTCATATGTTGATCTTGAACCCTGCCAACTTTGCTGAAGCTTTCAATTAATTCCAACAATTTTCTTGCCAAGTCCCTAGGATTTTCTATGTACAGGATCATATTATCTGCAAGTAGTTTTATTTCTTCTTTGCCAATTTGAAACCTTTAATTTCCCTTTTTGCAGGCTAATCTGGCTAAGACGTCCAGCACAACATTGAATAGGAGTGGTAATAAAGGTCATCTTGGATTCTCATTCATAAGTGTTCAATTTCTCTCCACTGAGAGTAATGTTGACCATTAGTTTTATACATATGCCCTTTATTATGTTAAGGAATTCCTTTTCTTTTTCTATTTTGTCACATGTTTTATCAGGACTGGGTGTTGGATTTTATCAAATGCCTTTTCTGCATAAATTGATATGATCATGTGATTATTTTTCTTTGTTTCATTTATGTGATGGATGGCACCGATGGTTTTCCTAATGTTGAACCATCCTATGCATCTACTTTTCCTCAACTCATCTATCCCCGGAGATCTTTCCATAACTACTCCCTGATATGCCTGTGATTCTGGGAGCCTCTGACCCACAATTCACCTCCCGGAGTCCCTCCTGGGCCAGGCTCCTAAAACTGAGGATCACTCCAATAATGGTCATGCGCTTCAGAACGTTTTCAGCCCCTGAGGAGAAAGATAAATATTAGACAAAAGAATTGTGCAAGAAAATTAAGATGTCTTTGCTTCCTCCAGACCCACCCTAGTCCCCTGTCCCTGAAAATCCATTTCGTTCCCAATGCTTGACCCACCGTTTCTTCCCACTATGCTTACCCGTTAGCTGGGGCAGCAAAGAAGCCATCAAGTCTGGCTTGCTGAAGTTGGATCTGATCTGAACAAGTACATCCATGTTTTCCATCACCAGTTTCTGCAGCCCATACAACACAGAGACATTAACCAAGAAATGAAGACTCCAGTGTTACATCTTCCCTGCCCCAGGACCCTGAGTCTGGATCTTTCCCCAGGCCTTGTTTCTACAGTACCTTCAGCTCCACAATCTGAGAGGTCACGTGCCACATCAGGTTTTCACTCAGGAACTTCATTCCATAGGGTCCCAAGAGTTCAGCCAACGCCCGCATCTCTGGAATAGAGGTACAGAGGTCCCAGGTGGGACTTATAGGGCAGCAGAGCAAGTGTGCAACAACTCTATGGTAATTTGAAGACGTACAATGTTTTCTAGCTAGGAAAGGAAGTAGGAGGTTGAGGAGCAAAAGTAAAATCCCACATTCAGGTGACAGGTCTAAATATGCACGTGGAATGGTTTACCCTTTTCCCACGGGTACTCACATCAAGATTTACAACAAATGATTAACTACTTCACTTTACGTTCTTAAAAAGTCCATACACACGCAAGCCCACATGACGGGGTTTTACTTTTGCACTAGTTGTACTAGTTTCATTAGCTGTAAGAACTTCTCAGAGTAAGATGCATTATGAGGAACTTTGAAAGCTATCATCCATATGAATAGAGATTATAATGACGACCACTATTTACAGCCCTCTGAGGTATGTGGCACAGGCCCTTCCTGGGACACTGTCATCTGGCTTTTAGGAGCAATGAGAGTTAAATTAGTGCTTGTCCAAGATCATTTTACCAAGTCAAGACCTAATGCTAGAAACCTGTGTCCTATCCGATACCACAACCATTCCTTTATCTAGAATCTGGTTTTCTGTGTGCTCCTCCCTCTGCGTCCCTTATTTCATGGTTCACTGTACACATTTTCCTCTCCTTGGGCTCCTCTTCTTTCCTCGAAATCCTCATACCAAAATCTGAGAAAGTTCCCCTTTTCCCTCTCTAAATCCTTCTCTCTCGTCTGCTCCAATGGCTTGTCCCTCTCCAGTCTGCTTGCAGCCCTTTGTGAATTAAATTGAACTTGCCTGGAGAACCCTCACAATCGAAACACTAGTGACAAATGCAGATAGGAAGGGGCTCTAGCTGTGATCTCTGGATATAGGCCAAACCCACAGAGAAAGCCATAAAAGAACAGGAGTAGCAGCAACAAGAAATTTTTAGAAGAAAGCCAACTTTAATTGAATTATTAAGAGTTCAGACAGAAAAGCACGTCAACACTTTATATTCAAGTCTCTGACGGCAGGACCAGTTGGTGCCTACCTCCACCAGTGACAGAGGGAAGTAAAATTGAGCACAGAAATTGACACAGAGCCTTGCCCAGGTCAGATACTTACTAGACATTTGTAGACTTATCTATTTATAATTAGAAGAACCGAGATTAGAACTCTAAAAGGATTTCCTAACTGGCAAATTTAGATAATGCTAAAATGGCTGACACAGAGAAAGAGAGGTTGGAGTGCCTTCTCCGAGCTAAAGCTAGGCTTATCTACCCGTTTGAATCTGCCAAACCTCCTTACTCCACTCTTCTCTACTCTAGGCAGTAACCCTAGGGCCTATTTCTCTTTCCGTCTATCTATTTTTACAGTAGCATTGCCCCATCACCATGGCAACCCTGAGAAATTGGGGTGGGGCGTAGAAAAGGGGAAATCAGCATTACTTCCTGCGGCTTGGCAGTTATCAGCAGGACCTGAAACGGATGGTGGAGGCTGCCTACAATTTGTGGGCTGTGTTGACGAGAAGGGGACATCTGAACCCTGCAGCAGGAAAGAGTAGGGTCCGCTCACTGACGGAGTCATGGTGAGGGTAAGAATGATGCAGAGTTGGAAAACAGAACTTTTAAATTCTGACTTTCCAAATGTCCTTGAGGAAAGGCAAGAGCAGAGAGGACAGGCTCATTGAGACATCTCCTACCTGAGCCACCCACAAAGCAGAATTCATGAACTATATGAAGGTGAGGAGAAGCCGGAAACAACTCTCTAAGGAAACAGATGCCGTGGCCTCAGGCCACTGTTCACTAAATCCAAGTAGGAGGATTATATGTCCTACTCTTATTCTTTATAAAAATGAAGGATAGACATTTACCACCCCTGCAGGAAAAAAAATCTCTTCAGTGACTTTTCCAAAGCCAAACTCACTGCCATCGAGGTGATTCCAACTCACAGGGGCCCTATATGGCAGGGCAGAACTGCCCCTGCGAGTTTCTGAGAGTAACTCTTATGGGAGCAGTTGGTGGCTTACGATCTGCTGACCTGGTAGTGAGCAGTGCAACATATAACCACCAGCCACTAGGGCTCCGCCTCATTCCCCTCCTGTTCTCTCCCCCAGGTCACACCTCACTTCCAGCTTGGAAGCCCTGTCTACCTTCCCTAGGGTGCAGTCCAGCAGAGATGCTAAGGAGAGTGTAGAATGGGCCTCTGGGAGGGTGGAAGAGTTTAGGTGGGACCTGTGGCTGAGATTTTATATTAGGAGAGAGCAGCAACTCTTTGTCAAGGAAACAAGACTCAGGCTTACCAGAGATGTCAGAGAACTCCTCTGCACTGAAGTTCTGCTCCCCTTCTCTGGGGAGGCTGGTGAAGGCCTGCATGGCTGGAGACAGGATGATGGCTCCACTGCTCGCCTGCCTAAGCAGACTTTCCAGGTACCTACAGAGTTGACCAGGAAAACAGAAGGCTTGTGTTCAGTTCCTTCTACAGTGTTTTCCACCACCCCTGCTGGGCTCAGAAGGAGAAATTCTGCCAAAAGCTAGGGTGGGAAGAAGAGGTTCAAAGAAGACATTAACACCCCAAGCTGCTGGCTCAAAAACAATTGGCAGTAATGTCATTCCACTTTTAGTCTTTACAGTCTCTGATCTGCAAGGTATTTTGCTATGCAGTCAAAATGCACTGCATCTCTCTCTCCAGCCCCTGTTGTTTTCCAATGAATGCACCCCACTTTACCCTTCGCCTTACTCTGCCCAATAAGACAGGCTCAACCTGACAAGATATAATTCCCACTAACCATGCTCCTCTGACATATACTTAGCCTTGTCTCTTCTCCAGTGCTGGATGGAGGACCCAGAAATCCTGGAAAAGCCAGTCCTATGTCAGGATTTCTGGCAAAGAAAAAACCCATGAACAAAAGTCAGCCGGCCTCCAAACATTCCTTCCTGACCTCTAAGCAAGTTGAAAGGGGAAGAACTCCAGCCTTGTGAGCAGAAGAGGCCATGACCAGCCTCCTACCACTTACCCAGGCTCTAGCTGTTGGCCTGTGTCTTATGAAGGTCACAATCTAGTTGCAGGTAGGCCAAACCTAGTTAGTTACCAAATATCTCCCGGACCCCCTGCCTTTTTCATTGGAATTGTCAAAACTTCTAAACTGAAAAATTCTACACGAAAAACGATTCATCTAGAACTGAGCAGTTGCTACCCTCTTCATCACCTCAAAATCCCTCCCAAATTCACAACCCCTGTTGGCATATGTATTGCAAACCTAGTCTGTTCTCCCTACTCACCAGGCTCTGCATAGCAAGCTCGCGCCTGAGTTGATATTGGATTAAGAGCGCCACCCAGTGGCTTCAGGAGGTAGGAATCTGGCTCCTTTCCACTCTAAAATCTCAAAAAAGAAATGGTTCTGATTCCCATCTCCTTCAGATTTGGGGATGAAGTCCCTTCCTTATTAAGAACAATCTGCGAGGCTCAGCATAGTCGTGTCTGGGGTTGAGGAGACAGTGTTGCAGAGAGATGGTGGGTCACAGAATGACTTTCAGAGCGGAACTCTGGGGTGAAGAATGAAATAAGAATTTCAGAAAGAGGAAGAGAAATTATTTGAAATGCAAACAGGAAAAGGTTAAGAACTGGCGATTAAAGGAAAGTAGTCAAGTTGTTAGAGGTAGCTTGATGGATATTACAAGGTTAGAAGGAATAAATGTGCAAAGATGATCTGCGTTTATGTCAGATGATTGCTATAATTGATGACCAAAAACAAGCTTCCATTTGGGGATCGATGACCCTGGGAGGTATATGTGTAAAGGACAGGATGCCAGCAAAAGGGTAAGGCTGTGAGAGGCTAAGAGACACTGACCAATTTGTGTAGAGAGTGGTGATCGTTTGCTCCCCAGATGAGTCCAGTGGCTGTGTCTGCTGCAGGAGGGCATTGCGGATGACTCTGGAAGAATCTGCACCCAAGAACTGGGCCATAGTCTGTACGAACCCAATATAGGCTTTGACTCCTGCCAATAACTCCGAAGGCCTTACAATCTCCTGGGTGGTGGCATTATAGCCAGCCAGCCACACAATGGCTCTGGGTGATTTAAAAAAAAAAAACATAATTGTGATGATAAACATAATAACATTTAGCAAATGGATACTGTGTTCCCAGCGCCATGCTGAGATTTGACTACTCGTGTTATCTCGTTTAAACCTCCTAATCCCCCAGGAAAGAGGTGTTAAACCACATGCTGAAGATCACACAGCCGACAAGTGGCAGCACTGGGACTTAGTCCAGTAATATGGGGTTCCTAACCCTATGCTCATCTGTCTCCTCTGGAGACATTCCACCAGGTAATAAAAGTCTGGGCTTCCAAATTCCATCTGACTCTAAAACGTGAGGGACCATACCACCTACATTCTCCCAGTTGGACCCCCAATCCTTCCCAACATACCTTCCACAGATACCTGACATATCAGTGGTTAAACACTCAATTGCTAACTGAACAGTCACCATTTTAAACTCACAAGCTGCTCCCCTGGAGAAAAGACCTGAAGGTCTGTTCCCATAAAGATCACAGTCTAGAAAACCCTAAAGGACAAGCACACAAAATCAGCTCTGACCTAGAGCATTTGTCCTCGTTAAAATGTTACTAGTTGGGGAAGAGGAGCAACACACTTGAAGCCTTTCTCTCAGACTCATCCTCAATAAGGAGCCCTGGCAGCTCAGTGAGTAAAGTGCTGGGATGCTAACCACAAGGTCAGTGGTTCAAATCCCAGCTGTCCTGCAGAAGAACGGTGAGACTGTCTGCTCCTGTAAAGACTGATAGTCTCAGAAACCCTGGAGGGCACTAGGAGTGAGGATCTCATCACCTTCATAGCGGTAGGTTTTATGCCTCAGTCTGAGTAAGTTTGAGGAGTCTTTGGGTAGTGGCAAATGGTCAACACCTCTGGAAGTTCAAGTCTACCCAGAGGTAACTTGGAAATAAGCTCTGGCAATCTACTTCTAAAAATTAGCCATTGAAAACTCTGGAGGGAAAAAAGAAAGTAAAAAAACCCAATGGAACCCAGTTCTGTTCTTACCCGCCTGGGCGCACCATGAGTTGGAATCAACTGGACTTTTTATTAGTTTGTCCTATTTTTTCTCTAGAAGTAGGCATTCTGTTGTCTTAGAAAGTTATGGCAGGAGGAGAATTAAACTAGAGGGCCCACTCCTCAAATGAAATGAAAAAGAGGGGGAGTACCATTTGGGTCCCACTTGGTTGGAGGAAATAATACAGAAGGGGGACAGGCTAGGGGCAAGTCTAATCTAGTTAAGAGTGGAATTTTCACCAAGGTCAAACCTCTAGGCCAACCTTATGCCCATGAAGAAAGTTGATTCACAGATATTCAGGGAAAAGTAAAATAGCATACTCATGCTGCTAAAGGGCCTGAACTACCACTAACTTCTGAAATTTTGCATATGAACAATTATTAGACTGTCTTCTTGACATGTATGCACCTGAAACACTTCCTTCCACATCTCTATTTCACACATAGTGAAAACAAACTAAGTTTCCCATCACCCAAGTAAAATCCTCATTAGAAAACAAATCTAGATCTCTTACGATTGAAACAGACTCCTAATCAGACCCCCATTTTCACCTTTGACCCCCTAAGTGTGGTAGAGTGATGGTGAAATAGTGAGTCAGAACCTATTATTCCTCCGCTTAAAACCGCCAACATTCTCCAACTCACACAGAAGAAAAGTCAAAGTCCTGCTAATGTTCTATAAGCACCTACATAACCTGCAAGTTCCCCAGCTTCTAATACCTCCTGCCCACCCAGTATCCCCCAGGCTAATTCTGCTCCAGGGCCCTTTATATACCAGGTCCACTCCCACCTCGGAACCTTTGCACCTGCTGTTCCTTCTGCCTCAAACATTCTTTCCTCTGATCATTACTTGGCTGGCTTCCTCATTTCCTTCCTGCTCTCAGAGAGACCTTCCCTGATCACCCTACCTACAATAATAACACCAACCACCATCACCCCTACATTCACGGACTTCCTATCTCCCTTTCCAGCTCTACTTTTCTACTTCACACTTATCACTATAAGATACTACATATTGTTCTTTCTTATTCATTTTATCTCCACCACTGGAATGTAAGCTTCATGGGACCAGGGGCTTTGTCTGTTTGATCTACTGCTATAGCAACAGTTTCTACAACAGTGATGGAACACAATAAGTATTTTATGAATGAATACATGAATGAAGATAAAACAAAACCTAGAAGACCAAGGGGTCATCATGTAGGGGCCCCCGTGGCCCTAATTCCTTAGGATAGTGCTCAGTATCAATATAGTGGGTGTCGCTCCTCCTGTAAGGATCCCTGGTGGTGCAATGTTAACCACAAGATCAGGGGTTCAAACCCTCCAGCTGCTCCGTAGGAGGCTATCTATACCTATAAAGATGTACAGCCTCAAGAACTATGAGTTGGAATCAACTCTACGGGAGTGATTTGGAGTTTGGGGGATTTCTCCTACTTCCGTGGGCAACAGAGTGAAAGGAAAAGCAAGGCAAACAGAATCCAGTTTACTGAGGCCTATTATATGCCAGAGAGCAAGCCTGGGGTGCTGTTGGTTGGTAACCATCAGGTCACTGTTTAAACCCACCAGCCACCCCTACTCCCATAAAGATTTACAGCCTTTGATTCCCTATATAGGGCTGCTATGAATGAAACTCAATGGCAGTGGCTTTGATTTGGTTTTTATTATATGTCAGATACTTGGCATTTATTATTATATTTAATTCTCACTACCAGTTCTCACTGACAGGTAACTCTCAATTGGAACCAACTCTTCAATTGCCTGTAACATAAATATCATTCTTATTTTATCGGACAAGAAACAGAGGCTCAACCAAGTCAGCAAACCTGCTCGGCCTCTTAGCTAGTGGCTGGAATGTCAACACAGGTCTTTTGACCGTAACAGCCCTGCTCTTTCTTCTTAATCAGTGCTGATCAATTCTGACTTTTTATCACAACCATTTGTAGATGTCTGGGATTGTTTTGGGGGGGGGGTTGTTTTTTTGTTGTTGTTGTTGAAACTGAATCAGACTCTCCAGGGTGTGACCACCATGACTGAAAGAATGTATCTTTGAGAACTACAACACCATGCAGAGAAAACAAGAAAATACCTGTTGAGTCTGGCCTCCAGGTGGCTGCTGAGATACTCAGAAGGGAAGATAGTATGTTCAAACACGGAAAAACTGGGAACATGATTCATGGCCAGTGCCAGTTCTGTCAAGTTGAGGTGGAGCTTGTCCATGCTGGGTAAAATTGGGAAAGTAAAATGAGCTTTGATTCCAGGTCTAGTACTGCCAACTAGTTTCTGGGGGTGATCTGTCAGCCCCATTACCCTCAGGTCCCTTTCGTCTTCTAGGGATACTAGAAGTATCTAGTATCTACTGATGCTAACTTGAAAAAAGCAAAGTAGGAAATTCACATTTCAGTGTTTTTCCAGATCTTTGCCATATCCACCCCCCACCACCATGTCTACATTCTTTTGCTGTATCATCTTCCCTCTTGCCGTTTTTCCCTTTTCCGATTCAGTGCCCAGTTGGGCCCCTGGAGCCCACGTCCTCACGTGGTGACAATGCTGCGGTTCTTCCGGTGACTCTCAGCTCCGGGCTTTTCCCGCTCAGGCTCTCCCTTTCTGGGAACCTGCCTCTGCTTCATAGTCTTCTTGTTCTTGGCCTTGCTGATGGTAGTGGCACAATGCTTAGGTAGAAGCTTTAGAAATGAACAGAGGTGAATGGAAAAACAGGATTCCTTTCTGAAGAGGGAAACATTTGGCACAAAATGTTGCATCTAGTTACTTTATATAAGCCACCCTTAATGGGAGAGAAAGAAGTCCTTGGTGCTGCAGTGGGTTAAGCATCAGACTGCCCATGGAAACACCAGTGATTAAAACTTACCAGAAGCTCCCTGAAAGAAAGATGAGGCCATCTGTAAAGACGCACAGCTTTGAACCCTATAGAACGTGCCCTGATCACCTCCATGGGCCCTGGGTTTGCCTTGGCTGGTCACATACACATACTCATACACACACACTCACACACACACACAAAAAAACACCAAAGTAAGTAACAAATGTTTTGCTACTGGGGTTTCCATTTCAAACATGCCAAATAACATGCGTTCAACATGTCTCTGTGATCAGTGGATGGCTACAGACACGTTCTTTCCCTCATATATTTAGTCTCATTAGGGTGCCTTCAATAAAAGATCCAATCAAAACACTCATGGCTCTGCTGGAGCTCTGAGAGGGCAGCTCAGAAGGTTAAAATCACTGGTTAGGGGAACTCCAAAGGGGTTATTTTTATATTTTTTTCTTAAAGGGCACAGACTAGCATAAGAGTTCATTATGAAGCTGTGAGAAAATACAAACTACATTGGTGAAAAAAATGCCAAGAAAGTTGGAGGAATTGTTTTTCAACACAATGCACCTGCTCATTGGTAACAAGCCTGTCCTGTAAGTCTTTTATTGGCTGAAAACCCAGAAATAAAAATATCAGCATACAGAAAATTGATTTTTGATAAGGGCCAAACAAATATCAAATGGGAAGCAGATGCCCTCTTCATTAAGTGGTGGAAGAAAAAATGGACATGTACCTGCAGAAAAATGAAGCAAGACTCTTAGCTCACTCCATGCACAAGAATAAACTCAAGGTGGATCACAGACCTTGAGGTAAAATCCCAAACTATTAGGGCCATTAATGAGGGAATTGGGATAAACCTGAGAACCTTGGCACAGGGAATACACAGGCTATCAGAAATAGGGAAGGATATAAATACAGAGGAGTCACAAAATGACAAGTGGGATATAATGAAGATAAATCACCTGTGTACATCGAAAGAATTCACCAAGAGAGTAATAGGAGCCCACAGACTGGGAAAACATCTTTGGCAATGACACATCAGACAAAGGTCTTATTAATAAATTCTACAATATTTTGCAAGCTTACAATAAGAAAAAAACTAACTGCCCACTAAAGAAGTGGGCAAAGAACCTGAAGAGAAGTTTCACAGGGGCAGAAATCTGAATGGCCAATAAGCATATGAAAAAATGTTCCCAATCATTAGCCATAAAAGAAATGCAAATTAAAACAACTATGAGATACCACCTAACACCCTCAAAGATAGCCAATTCAAAAAATCAGAAAGCAACAAGTGTTGGAAGGTTGTGGGGAGATAGGAACTCTCGTTCACTGCTGATGGACCTGCAGGTATGTACAGCCATTAAGGAAATCAATATCTAAAACCGATGAAGAATTCTAATCAATTCCTCCCTCAATGCAAGAACACGTTGTTCTAATAACCGGATAATCTGTGATGCTCACCTTTTCAACACGATCACTGAAGACATAATGGGTGCATAATCAAATGTGGCGAAGAAAGCTGGTGCCCAGCTATTAAAAGATATAGAGTCTGGGATCTTAAAGGTATGAAGTTAAACAAGCAGCCATCTACCAGGGAAGCAACAACACCCAAATGGAAGAAGCACATCAGCCTGTGTGATCATGAGGTCTCCATGGGATCAGGTATTAGACATTAGAAGACCCAAAACAAACCATCACATCAATGCAAACGAGGTGGGTCGGAGTGGAAACCCAAAGCCCATCTGTATACAATTGGATATCTTCTCACAGAAGAGTCACAAGGAAGGGACAAGCCAGCCAGGGTGCAGTATAGCACTGACAAAACACACGACACTCCTCTAGTTCTTTAATGCTTTCTATCCCCCACTATCATGACCCCAGTTCTACCTTGCAAATCCAGCTAGACCAGAGCACGTACACTGGTACAGATAAGAGCTCTTGACACACGGAATCCAGGACAGATAAACCCCTCAGGAACAGTAATGGGAGTAGTGACACCATGAGGGTAGGGAGAAGGTGGAAGAAGAAGGAAGAAAGGAGGAACTGATCGCAATGACCAACATATAACACTGCCCCACCCCCAAAGGGGACGAACAACAGAAACGTGGGCAATGGGAGACACCAGATGGTGTAAGACATGAAAATAATAATAAATTTTAACTTATCAAAGGTTCATGAGGGTGGGAGGGTGGGGAAGAGAGGCAAAAAAGAGAAGCTGATACCAAGGGCTCAAGTAGAAAGTGTTTTGAAAAGGATGATGGCAACATATACAGTACACAAATGTGCTTGACACATGAATGTATGGATTGTTATAAGAGCTGTAACAGCCCTCAATAAAATGATTTAAATTTTTTCCTATGATTTTGTAGCAATATTTTCTATAGCAATATATACATATACCTACTCTACATCTACTATTTATGCACATATGCCTATTATGTATACATATCACACACACACACACACGAGGGAGTACCAAAAAAGTGGAATCTTTTTTCAAAGCTATGTATTAAAATTTTTAAAAAACCTTACTACCTTCAAAGTACACTCCATTACACTTAATACATTTGTCAAATCTGCAATTCCATTCATGGAAACACTTTTCAAACTCATCTGTTGGATGGTTGATAGCACCTCCCTCATTGTTTCTTCACCTCTTTATGTTGTCAAATCCCTGTCCTTTCATGTCTCTGCATTCACAGAAAGAAAAAGAAGTTGCATGGAGTGAAGTCAGGCGAGTCAGGTGCATGGGCAAGAGAGGCATGTGCTTTTTTGCCAAAAACTGGCGCACTGAGATGGCTGCATGAGTAAAACCAGTGGTGAGATCAGTCCCCTGTCTGCCACAAATCAGGCCTTTTTTGTCGCACATTTCTATGCAATCTTTTCAGAACCTCTAAAGAGAAAGTTTGATTAACAGTCTGACCTGGTGGAAGGAACTCCAAATGCACTATCCCCTCACATCAAAAAAATAAATAAATGAGCATCATCTTGATCTTTGATTTCACTTGATGAGCTTTTTGGGGTAGAGGTGATGATGGCATCTTCTACTGGCTTGATGCTTGCTTTAAGGATCATAAGAATAGCACCATGTCTCCTCACCAGTAATGACCTGCGGGGGTGGGGGGGCTGGAATTTGGGTTGCTTTGGAGTTATTCTTTCAAAGCACAGCATGTTTCCACTCAACATTCTTTGTCTTGGTCAGTCAGAACCCAAGGCACAAATTACAGCAACCCATCTCATTCCCAAATCTTCCATTAAAATTCACTGAATCGAGCTCCAAGATAGTCTAGATAACTTCCCCATATCTTCAATGGTGCTTCATCAGTCTTCACGCACCAGTGCTTGGATTTTGTTGACATTTTTGTCCATTTGGGAAGTTGACGATATCCAGTACGAGGTTTGTCATCGATCAACATTTCACCCTTTTTAAAATGAGAAAACCATTCCTATAGTGGAGTTTTTCCCGTAATGCTGTCCTTGTAAGCTGTGTTCAACATCACAACAGTTTCTGTAGCATTTTCCCTGAGCAAGAAACAAAATTTCACAGCTGTGTGCTGTTCTCTTAAATAGGCCATCACACACACAAAAAAAGTTACAGCAAAACTGCTTTTATGAAAAAATTCACTGTGACCAAAGAGAACCTTCCCAAGCGTTGCCACTGGGTGCACTAATTCAAAGCGAGTTGTTCACCTAGCAGAGAAAAATGTGTACTATGAAGCTCCAACCACGGAAGTTTTTTCCAGTACAGGTACTTCCTGGTATATGAGAGAGAAACACCACAACCCCTGGTGGTGCTGTGGGTTAAGAATTGGGCTGCTAACCACAGGATAAGTAATTCAAACCCCCTGGTGTTCTGTAGGTAATGATAAAGCTATATGCTCCCATAAAAATTTAGTCTTACAGATAAATGGAATAAGTAGTTTCTATGACATAATTCAATGGAATAAATTGTTTCTATTACTAAGAATGAACTAGATGGCAGTGGGGTTTACACACAGAGAAGCTTCAAAATATTCATAGAAAATTTTAATTAAGAGATCATGGAATTTTTCCATGAACTTTTTGAAGCTCCCTCATGTGAGTAGGTAGGTAGACACAGAGAGAGAGACAGACAGACCGACAGATATGCACACACATATATCCACAATAAATTTTTTTCTAAGTATCTATGATGAGTTTTGAAAACAATTCCAAAAATTCTAACTCTGGTACTAATGGCAGCATCACTGTTATAATTGTTTACTCAAAATGGTAACGTGGGATAGATTAGTACTTAGTGGGTTGCTAAGGTTCTGGTCTGTGTGAAAACAATTAGTCACATCATGCTTAGTCATCCCTGATAAAGCAAACCTCCTTAACTATGTCCCTTGTATTCAGTAGCTATTCAAACAGTGATGAATATGTCCATGGTACTTGTTTACATGTCTTCCATGAATTAACTATTTAAATATCTTTCAGACATGTTTTTGTACTCTCCCATTAGACTAGAACATTTCCCAAAGCCAGGGATTGTATGCCTTACTTCTGAGACCTGACTCTCCCCATCCCCTAAATACACACCCACACACATACACAGGGACAGTGCCTACTAAGGGCTAAATAATAAAACAACTGACATTTACCGATTGTTGTATGCCAACATTTTATGTACTCTTAATTTAATCCTAATGATGCCTTTATGAACAAAGTATTTTTATCCCATTTTGTATATGAGAAAACAGAACATTAAGTAATAATGTAATGATGCACACACACACAACCTGGTTCCCCATCCACTGAAGTTGTTACTAATTCTGACTCAAACCCAGGAGGGGTAGGTAGTCTTAGCAACCTAAAAGCCTCCAGGGCAACAGCAAAACAAGTCCCTCATTTTTGAATTTTCTGAAATTTAGGTTGAAATAATCATAACCAGGTGCTATGAGTCAATCAAGGGGGCGGTGCAGGGAACAAAAATGCAAGAAAGCAGCTCTGAGGATAAACACAGGCCAGGTGCTTGAAAACACTCAGATGGTTGCAAATCAGGATACAGATGGTTAGGAATATGGGAAGCGATCGGTGAAATGCCCTGTGCTTGATCTATGGCCACTGCCCTAAGTCTGCACAGGGGAAAGAGAAAAGAGGAAATTTAAGAAATTAGCCATCTCTTGGAACTCTTCAAATTAGAGTACTAATCTTCTGGAGTGCATCTGTTTACATAAGAGTATTTTTAGACACTTCTATCTAGTCCTAAGAGAATAAGAAAGGACTAAATTAAGAAAAACTGATGTCATAAACTCAAGAACACAAAACCCTATTCCCGTTTGAGAGGCAAAATTGGAGAACTTGGCGTTTAAGAAAGAGACAGAAAGATAGACAGTGGGACGAGACACGGCGTCCCTCACTGACCCGTAGCCCTACAGGAGACAACACTGGAGACACAGTGTGGGAATTCCGCCGGATCTGATCCCACCACACCGAGGCAAAACACTAAGGGGGTGCAACAGAACAGCAAGGGGAACAGAGCAACGAGGTCCCTAAGGAATACCAAAAATAGACTCGGGGGCCAGGGCTTCGCGCCCCAACAAAATTGACTGGAAATTACTCCTAAAGGCCAACAAACAGTTCTTGAACTAACTATAAGCTTTTCTTTCTTGTTGTTGTGTTTTGTTTTGTTTTTTGGCATTGGCTTATTGTTGTTGTTTTGTTTTATTTTGTTGCTTGGTTTTGCTCTGTCTTGTTTTTGTGCATGTTATTATCTCCCCAGGTCTGTCTAA